TAGAAATCTTTCAATAAAGTGAGGCAGCACTGGAGGTACTCATCTATGCCAAGAAAATTGGAAGATGGATTGGAAGAGATTCATATTTGTGTCCATTCTGAGAGGTGATCCAACAGAATGCAGAAATCATCAGACAATACCACTAATATCACATGAAAGTGAAATTTTGGTAGATAATTACAAAAACCAGCTACAACAGTACATTGACTGGGAACTGCCAGGAGATTCAGCCAGATTCAGACAAATGTGTGGAATGAGGGATATCATTGCTGCTGTCAGATGAATCTGGGATGAAAGCAGAGAACAGCAGAAATATGTTTACCTGTGCTTTATTGACTATGCAAGTCTTCTGACTGTGTGAATCATGACAACCTATGGATAACATTGTGAAAACTGAGTATCCCAGAATAATTGTGCTTATGAGGAACCTGTATATAGACTAAGTCAGTCATTTGGACAGAAAAAGGGGACACTGAATGGTTTAAATTAGGAAAAGTGTGTGCCAGGGTTGTATTCTTTCACCATACTCATTCAATCTGTCTGTGGAAAAAATAATCTGAGAAGCTGGATTATATGCAGAAGAACGTAGCGTCAAGACTGGAGTAAGACTCATTAACAACCCTTAATATGCAGATGGTAAAACCTTGCTTGCTGAAAGAGAAGAGGACATAAAATACTGATGAAGATCAAAGACCACAGCCTTCAGTATGGGTTGCATCTCAATGTAAAGAAAACAATAAATAAATGGATAAAAGATTGAAGTTGTCAAAGACTTCATTTTGTTTGAATCCAGTATCAACTTTCATGAAAGAGGCAATCAGTAAATCAAATGACGTATTGTATTAGACAGATATGCTGCCAAGACCTCTTTAAAGTGTTTAACAGCAAAGTATCAGTTTGAAGACTAAGGTGCTCCTGACCCAAACTATGCATGTGAAAGTTGAACAGTGAATAAGGAAGACTATAGAAGAATTAATGCATTTGAGTTATGGTGTTGGAGAGGAATGTTAAAAGTACCATGGACTACTAGAAGAACAAACAAATCTGTGTTGGAAGAAGTACAGTCAGAATGCTCCTTAGAAGGCAGCATGGTGAGACTTCATCTCTCATACTGTGGACATATTGTCAGGAGGAACCAGTCCCTGGAGAAGGACATCATGATTGCTAAAGTAGAAGGTCAGTGAAAAAAAAAGGAAGACACATAATGAGAAGGATTGGCAGTAGCAATGGGCCCAACAACAATTGTGAAGATCGCACAGGACTGGCCAGAGTTTGATTCCGCTGTGCATGAAGTGGCTATGAGTTGGAATCGACTCAATGGTACTTCACAACAACAACAACTTCTTCAGTCTGAAATTGAATAAACATGCATTTATAATTGCTGGTGAGTGGAATGTGAAAGTTGGAAAGAAAGAAAGGATCTGTAGCTGGAAAATCGAGCCTTGCTGATAGAAATCTTGCTGGAGAATTGCAGAAAGAAACAAAGTGCTCTACAATAAAAATAGAAAATTTTAATACACCAATTTCAATAAAGCACAAAACAACTAGAAATAAACTCATACAAAGACACAGAAGAACTAAACAACCATCAACCACTTGATCTCATAGGCATATACAGAGCACTTAACCAAATAACAGTACAATATATATTCTTTTCCAGTGTACATGGAACATCCTCCAGAATATATCATATGTTAGGGCTACAAAACAAACGTCAATCAATTTTAAAACATCAACATACACAAACCATCTTTTCAGATCAAAATGCTATAAAAATCAACAATAGAAAAATCAAGGAAAAAAATATAAGAAAATTGCACAACACTCTGATTAAAAACTATGGAATAATAGAACAAGTAAAAAATTAAATAAAAAGAATTCTTTCACCAAGAAGGAAGTCTGGGCAGCCAACAGACATATGACGAAATGCTCACGATCACTAGCCATTTGTTGTTGTTAGGTGCCATCGAGTCGGTACCAACCCATAGTGATCTTATACACAGCAGGTCTTTGTAGGCAACGAGGGGACAGAAGGAAACTACAATGACAGACTCATCATGAGCTGTCTCCTAGAAGTTCTCCTGGGAGAATGGGTAAAGGACACGGGCAGGGGTCACCTCTCAACCCCTTTGTCCACTTCTAGGCTGTATAAGTGTCACTCTTGTTATTATTGTTGGGAATCAGATCAGCAAATGACGCACTTGTTTACACACTGGGGGCCTTTTTCATTCTTGCGACAAGCCTATGAGGTTGTTGTTTAGTGCCGTCGAGTATATTCTCACTCATAGTGATCCTGTATAGAGTTTCCGAGGAGTAGTTGCTGGATTTGAACTGCTGACTCTGTGGTTTGTAGTCCAGTGCTGATCCTACAGCGCCACATCAGAAGTCCAAAGGTACTATTTATGATAACCCCATTTCATGGATGAAGAAACAGAGCAACAGAGAAGTGAAGTGACTGCCCCAAAATCACAGAGCTTGTGAAGACCAGCTCTCCCAGATGCTTTCCTTGTAACATACCTCCTCCTTGGGCACAACTCCATCTGGACACTTCAAATCAGTTATGAATCAAGAGCCAAACAAGGAAGATCTGGAATGTTGGAGATGCAGGTACTGTGTCACAGGTAGAGCTGTGCTTGGGACACCTGCTTCATTCCTTATAGTTCCAAATGGCTCTGTCTCTTTACTCTCCTACCCCTTGCTCTGTGTGCTTGGGCATACCTCTTGCCTCTCTGGGTATCAGTATCCAGGTGTTAGAAATGGGGGCCAAGTGGGTGCCCTGTAGTGGCTGTGTACCCCCAGATGGCCTAGGAGGAGCACTGCAGGCTGCAAAAGTCAGTGGAGGAGAAGAGTTTCAGCACATTGACCAGTGGGAACATGAGAAGCGCTCCAACTAGGGAGCCTAGCTGCACAGTTGCCCCGCACCACAAGAGGGCACTGCGGCTGTGGTCACGCAGGATCATGCCCAGCATTGCTTTGACGTAGCTCAGACAACCAGAGAACAGCACCCACGAGGCCACCTGCAGAGATGGGCGGGGAAAGACGCAGAGTGAAGGGGGCTTGCAGGGTGAGCCCCAGAAGTGAAGCCCTTTCACTCCTGTTAAGGGAAGTTCATGGAATAACCTTTAAGTGCAAAGGGAGTCTTCTGTGGTGACCCTGTAGGGCTAAGGGGCCCCATAAATTGACCCCCCTCAGGGCACAAGTTGTTGTTGTTGTTGTTGTTGTTATGTGCCTTGGAGTCGGTTCCGACTCATAGCGACCCTGTACAGGGTTTCCGAGGCTGTAAATCTTTACGGGAGCAGAAAGCCTCATCTTTCTCCCGTGGAACAGTTGGTAGTTTCGAACTGCTGACCTTGCAGCTCGCAGCCCGATTTGTAAAACGGCCACTTCTGACACACACAGGTGGGAAGAGTGTGAGATTCAAAGACCAGCCACCTCACCCTTCTAACTCCCAACTCCCAAAGGAGAATTGCCCCTCTTCCCTCCCTACCCAACTCAGACCTTCCTAAGAGAAACTGGTCATTTGGAAGGACTGCACCTGGGTCTCCTAAGGACATGACCAGGAGGTGAGGGGGCAGGAAAGGAAAGGGGAGAGCAACACCTAGACCATATTACTTACAATGAGGACTTTGCCAGCCCAGTGGCCCTGCAGGAGGGGACAGGGACTCATCACAGCCATGGCCATATTGTAGGCCCCAAACCCAGTCCCAAGCATCACGAGGCCCCCGAGGAACGGCAGAGACCTAGGACAGAGTAAGAAAGGTGAAAAACCAACTTCTGCCTCCACCCTTTCCTAGGGTCCATGTGGAATGACCACCATCTCCAGGGTTAGGAGTTAGACCCACATGGAAACTTCCGGGCCACTTGGGATTATGTAGATGTAATTAGCTAATATTAAGACATACCAGAGTAGAGTCAGCCCTAATGCAAGGGGTGGGCTGGCCTAAGTCACAGCAAGCATTAGAGGCAGGGCCTAGCATTCCAGAAGGAGAAAGAAAATGGGTTCTGGTGCAGATGGACCAGGTTTAAGTCCCAGTTCTACCATTTAAGCTATGAGTCTCAGCAGGGCCGTGGTGCCCGGAAGGAACAGTGTTTGCAGAGCCTGACTGTGGCCCTGGACCATATTTTAAACCTTTAGTTTGTCTGTTGCTATTTCTTCCTGCAACATTCCCAACCTTGGCCAAGAAGCTGGGCTGACTAGAAGGTGATTTGGATCACAGCTCTGGCACTGCATGAATGCTGTATGACCTCAAGTGACCCCTTCCCTCTCTGGCCTCAGTTACCTATCCACTGTCACCAACAAGCGGCTACATGATCTCCACTGACTACAAGGAGCATCACTCTACAGGTGGCCTTTCTGCTTGAGAGTTGAGGACCCAAACTCATTGACCTCAAGTTGATCCTGATTCATCAAGACCCTATAGGATAGAGTAGACCTGCTCCCTATGGTTTCCGAGGCTGTAGGATCAGACAACCTCATCTTTCTGCTGCAGAACAGCTAGTGGGTTTGAACTGCTGACTTTGTGGTTCACAGCCCTACACATAACACTGCCACCACTCCTGACAGTCGAGGACATAGCCCTTCATTTAAAGTCCTTGTCTACACTCTTCAGAACACCAAGACTTGTCTGCACCCTGGGTGACAAGGAAGGAGCCTGTCCCTGCTTCTCAGGATACTTTCTGCTCCAAGATTCTTGGATCTTGTGACTCAAGTTCTGTCATTTCTAACATCCTGGGCTTCTCAGACACTGTGGTCTCTGGTCCCACTTCCCTAGAAACCTCAATTCTGTCTCTAGGGTTTTAAAGCCCTATTATGGGTTGGATTGTGTCCCTTGAAAAGACATATTCACACCACCTGTGAATATGAACTTATTTTGAAGTAGGGTCTTAGTTGATGTAATTAGTTAATATTAAGTCATACCAGAATAGAGTCAGCCCTAATGCAATATGATGACCTTACATAAAGAAGAGAGACACTGACAGATGTGAGGGAAGATGGCCATGCGGAGACCAAACATTGGAGTTAGACCGCCACAAGCCAAGGAATGCCAAAGACCACCAGAAGTTAGAAGAAGCAAGGAAGGATCCTTCCCTAGGGCCTTGTCCCGCCAGCACCTTGATTTTGGACATCTAGCCTCCAGAAGGTCCCAAGAATATATTTCTGTTGTTTTAAGCCACCCAGCCTGTGGTGCTTTGCTATAGCAATCACAGGAAGTGGGTTCAAGTCCCAAGGGCGAAAATCCAGCTTCCTGAAAAATGGATATATTCTGTCTAACTCTCTGGTCCTCATTTCTTCTCTTTCTTGGTCTAGGGGAAGGGTGTGTGTGCAGGTGGCGTGGACAGGTCTGAGCCAGCAAAGGCCAGGCAGGGCAGAGGTATGGATTCTTAGGTATGGATTCTATAAATCTAAGTTCTTAGATTTATAATTTTATAACCTCAACGTGGGTGTTTTTCTTACTGGGGTCTGAACAGGACCACCCAGGCTGCTTATTAAAAACTCAAATCCCAGGTTCCAAATCCAAGCTTAATTTGAATTGTACCAACTTCCTAGAATTGCAGCTCCAATGAGGCCGGCTGGTGGCTAGAGGCAGGAGGGCAGGGCAGGAAAGCTGGGGATTAGACTAGGTCATGCCCTTTCTCTGAGCTTGTTTTCTCCTTTGTAAAATAGCAACTGCAAAAGCTGCCTGCTTCTCTCCCCATGGGGCTGTTGGCAGTCGTGACTGATATTTTCACAGGGCCTGCTGTGAGTCAGCTATGGCTCTAGGAGCTTTACAGAATTCACTGATTTCACCCTCCTAGCATCCCTAGGAGGCAGAAGGCATTATCTCCATTCTCTAGAGAAAAGTCTCAGAGGCACAGAGAGGTGACCTGATTGTCCAATATCACACAGCTAGCAAGTGGCAGAGCTGAGATTTGAACAGAGGCAGATGAGGTCCAGAAATATGTTCTTAATCACTGCACATCCAGCCTGACAGATACGGCTTGGAATACTGGGTTCTGGAGTGACAACCTCCCCCAGGACTCCCCAGGGCCAGATGAGCAGACCTGAGAGGCAGGAACATGGTGACGAAGCAGGCGAGAGGGTTGGCCATGTTGCTGAGGGTGGCGGACAGATGGTAGATGACAGGCCCATAGGACAGGCAGGAGTAGGTCTGAACGGAGGGCAGCACACCATTTGTGAATGCATTTACAAAGGCCACCAAGAGGTAGATGAAGGCCAGCTGAACTGGGTGGAGAGAGGCTGTCTTTTCCTCTACAGGTCCCTGGTCCTTGATGCTGTCCACCGGGCCTGGAAGACTCAGGTCCTGCTTCTCCTGTGGTCGAAAGGAGTGGAGGGTGATCTGGGAGCTGAAGAGGTCTTCGGTGGAGGCCTTCCAGTGCCTGCGTTGGAGTTGGAGGAAGAAGAAAGCAGCTAGGCAGCAGGCCATCATAAAGGAGAGCAGGAGAAAGAAGACCAAAGGTGAGAAGTTGGCAGGGAGGTAACGGCTTTCCAGGTGGATGGTGGAGGCTGTAGTTCCTGTGAGGTCAGACATGAGAGTGCTGTTGGCTCCCTGGGTAAAGACAAAATAAGGGCTAGTCAAGTTCCTGGGTGATGTCAGGATAAGGTCAGTTAGGTCCCTAGGGGATGTTGGGATGGGAGTCAATCAGGTCTCTGGATGATGTTTGGATGAGGATCAGTCAGAGCCCTGGGCAACAACAGGACTAAAGTCATTCAGGTCCCTCGATTATGTCAGGATGTGGGTTGATCAGATCCCTAGGGGTGAAGATTTGAAGAAATGTCTAAAGTCTAGGGGCCTTAATCCTGATTCTGCCTTAGCATCACTGGGGGAACTTTGACAGAATACAAGGTCATAGTCCCTTAATCTGCAATTCTGAAATCCAAAACCTCTGAAAATCAAAATAATTTATAGACCTACTTGGCAATAACCCTTGAGTTGAACTGATACGTGGCTTTTTACAGGCCTACTTGGCACATTGGCTATGGTTGCTTTTAGGTTGTGAGCAATAAATAGTGTCATTGTGCTGGGCCACTGGGTCCTTTGTACTGTCAGGGACTGGGGCAGCATAGTCTCAAATCTGAGAACCTCCAATTCCCAAATACATATGGCCCCAAGGATTCCAGATGAGCCTCATCTTCAGAGATTCTTACTGAATTGCTCTCAATGTAGTAGATTCCCCAGGTGATCTAAGGTACAAATAGGTAAGAACGCTGGTCTACCCAATGTCTAAAAAGCACAAGGCATCTGCATATTCTGTCCATGATCAAACCCAGAGCGATACAATAGCACTGGGTCTTGCTCGGTACCTGTATGATGCCAATTGTCCTGTTGGTCGTGGGGTTTGGGGTGATGTCTGGTGTACCAGTGATGTTGACACAAGTGGTAAGACCTGAACCTTGAGCAAGAGCCACCAGGGAAGGCAGGAGGCCACTGAGTCCTTCACCCACAAAGAAGGTGGTGAGGTAGTGAATGGGCAGCTGGCTCATGAAGGGCAGGAAGGTGACAGAAGAGGTACAGTCCACTAGGGCCAGGAAGAAGGTGAGAGCCAAGAAGGCGATGCTGTGGTGGCCGCCCAGAACCCTGGAGGTCATGTTCCAGAGGAAGGCGAAGAGGGTGCAGGTGATGGTGCCCACACACAACACGGCATAAATGATGGGCACTTCAGGAAGGCAGCCGGGCCGGAAGTGATGGAGCAGGGTGACCAGGAGGGGGCCAACATTGGCCAACTGGATGATCACTGTGAGGTAAGAGGGTAGGTACCAGCCTTCGGGCAGCTCCATCACCAGCAGAGGCAGCTCTACCCAGAGCCCATTGATGGCCACCCAGGAGCCCGTTCCAAAGATGCAGACCAGCAGGTGGGTCAGGAAAACCATGGTGCTGTCCACCTCCTCACGTTAGCCTACAGCAGGGAGGACAAAAAAAGATACCTGGTGAGCAACTTCAAGTTTACAGTTTGGTAAGAGACTGCTTTTGGGCCCCGTGTTAGTCATGCTTCTCCCTCTGAATAAGTTGCCTTCTTGGTAGTCAAACACAGGCAAGCTCCTTTTTAACTGTGGAAAGCTATCCTAACCATGACTCATAAATCTAGAAGGAATAAAAGAAAAGGTTGATATATTCAACTGTATAGAAGAGAAAACAAACAAAACAGACCAGCAAGCAGACAAAAACTCAAAGTAAAACAAAACAAAACAAAAAACTTCTGTGTAGCAAAAAAAAAGACCAAAAGCAAAGTCAAAAGACAAATGACAACCTGGGGAAAAATATTAAATTTGTGGTGGACATTGCAGACAAAGGGCTCATCTCCCTAATATATGAAGAGTTGCTAGAAATAGAGAATGAAAAGAACAACAATGCAATAGAATAGTGGGCAACGAATCTTAAACAATGGGAATGCCATTTAGAATTCCAACAGCGTTTCTCACCAGTAAATTGTCCTTGAGACAAAAGTTACCTGTAATGGGCAAAATGACGCATTTAAGGTGGCCTTCCTTGTTGGTAATAACTAAATGTTAAAAAATCACAAGTGTCGATAGATAGGTGGTGGTGGTGGCTATATGCCGTGGAGTCGGTTCCGACTCATAGCGACTCTGTACAGGGTTTCTGAGGCTGTAAATCTTCACAGGAGCAGAAAGCCTCATCTTTCTCCCGCGGAACAGCTGGTAGTTTTGAACTGCTGACCTTGAGGTTCTCAGCCCGATTCGTAACAACTATACTATGAGAGCTCCTTGTCTATAGATAGAGGAGGAGGAGGGGTCACTTTAAGGGGACAGTCTTCTACAGGTTAAAGTAGCACCATCTGCTTAAAGAAATGAGGAATGTGTTTAAAGAAATGGCAGGTTATTTTGATAAGTGAACAAAGCAAGGTAGGCAGGCAAGGAGGATAGAGAAAATATTCTCTGAGCTTGTATTTGCATCAAGCAACCCTTGAAAGACACACAGAAACTGGTGAGATGCTGGGGGAACATTGATAGAGATATTTTTCTACAATTTTGTTCCATGTACCTTCCTGGTAGCTGGGGATGTGGCCAGTGGCAATCCCTCCTGTGCAGTCTCTGCTCTGGGATCAGGAACTGAGCTTACCATTCCTACCTATGGAGGCACACGAAATGGCCCTGCACTACACTATACAAACACTGATCAGAGAACTATGTGCATACTTCCAGTCTCTACCACATCCATCAGGAGATAGGCGGTGAGAACACAACAACATATAATTAGCAATTAAGTAGAAATACAATGACACCACAGTGTCCTGGAGAAAACAGGAAATTCCAGTTTACAAGAAACAAGACAGAATGTTTCAAACAAGTGACCAAGTTACAGAGTCAGAAAATATAATTCCAGAAATGGTATCGGAACTACCTGATAAGGAATTTAAAAGAATAATATTTAGGTACCTTCAACAGATTGAGAGAATGGTTGAGAAGACCGCCGATGACATCAAGGAAAACACAAACAAAATTTTAGAAGAATTCAGGAAAACACTTCAAGAATAAACTGACAACATAAATGGAAAAGAAAAAAAAAAAAATCATACAATAACAGTATTTAGAAAGCCAGAAAATTAATACTAAGACTTTAGAAGTAGATAATACATTGAAAGAGCGAAGAAGTATAATTGTATTAATGGTAGGATGAATTACTGAGTTTTAAGACAAAGCTCTCAATGGGGTTCTGGTGTGATGCTGTTGGATAAACACTGGGTTTTTAACCCCAATGCTGACAGTTCAAACCCATCAGCTGCTCCTTGGAAACTTTATACAGGGTTAGAATTGACTTGGTAGCACTTGGTAACAACAGCAGAGAAAAACCAAAAAATTCAGTAAAAAGAGCCAAAAAGTCCCAAGAAATATCAAGAGGGATAACTATCAAGAGGAATAACTCACAGGGTCGCTATGGGTCGGAACCGACTCGATGGCACATAACAACAACAACAACAAATTGGAATTTCAGAACAGGAAGAGATAAAAAACAAAAACAAAAAACAAAGAGCCATAGAAAAAATTGTCCAAGAGTTGTTGGAAGAAAACATCCCTAACATCATGAAAGACGACAAGATTGTCACTTAAGAAGTTGAATAAACTCCTAACAGTATAGACTCCAAAAGAGCATCACCAAAACATATCATAACCAAACTTTTCAAAACCAAAGACAAGGAGAGAGTCCTGAGAGCAGCTTAGTGAAAATAGAAGTTATCTACAAAGGAGAATTAATAAGACTAAGCTCTAATATCTTAGCAAAAATCCTGCAGGCAAGAAGACAATAGGACGTCATATACAAAACTCTGGAAGAAAAAATTGCCAACCAAGAATCCTATGCCCAGCAAAAGTGTCCATCAAATACGACAGCAAAATTAGGACATTTCCCTATAAGGAATTTCAAAGAAATTGTAAAAACCAGACCAACCTTTCAAAAAATACTAAAGGGAGTTTGTTGGACAGAGAACTAACAACAGCAGAGAACAACTTGAGATTACATACAAAACAAAATCAGCCAGTACTCAAGCCAGATACAGAAGTATTCAAAGTAAAACAAATTCAAAGATTGAAAATAGGGAAAATAGAGATGCCAGTTTGCAACAACAACAAAAACCCACAAAATAAAAGAAGGGAATAATGTAGTCACAGAACTTCCAAATGTGGAGGAAATTAAGTAGACTTTAAGGAAAATTATTTAAAAGTGCCAAGAACGGCCAGAAGAACAACCAAATCTGTGTTGGAAGAAATACAGCCAGAATGCTCCTTAGAAGTCAGGATGGCAAGACTTTGTCTCTCATGCTTTATTAGACACATTTTCAGGTGGGGCCAGTCCCTGGAGTGGAGGGTCAATGAAAAAGAGGAAGTCCCCCAATGAGATGAATTGACACAGTGGCAGCAGCAGTGGGCTCGAACAACAATTGGGAGGATGGCACAGGACTGGGCAGTGTTTTGTTCTGTTATGCATAGGGTCGCTGTGAATCAGAACTGACTTGACGGTACAGCTACAACAATTGTAACCCTAAAACTAGATAAAGCCTTACTCTTTGCCTAACCCATAGCCCTAAAACTAACCCTAACCCTAACTATAACCCTGGAGTCCTGGTGTGGTGCTGTAAGATAAGCACTGGACTGCTAACTGCAAGATCGGTGGTTTAAACGCACCAGCCACTCCTTGGAAACTCTATATGACAACAATGAACCCTAAAAGCCTAACACTAAATGATGTCCTAAGCCTAGCCTGCTGCTGTGTGCCATAAAGCATGGTGACACTGTATAGGGTTTCTGAGGCTGTAAATCTTTACAGGAGCAGAAACCCTCATTTTTCTTACTCAGAGCAGTTGGTGGATTTGAACTGTTGACCTTGCCAATGCTTAACCAACTATGCCACCTGGGATCCTAGATTTAGACCTTGTTGTTGTTGTTAAGTGCTGTTGAGTTGGTTCTGGCTCATAGAGACCTTGTATAGGGTTTCCCAGGAGCAGCTAGTAAGTTTGAACTGCTGACCTTACAGTTCCAACAGACCTTGTGGTCCAATGCATTATCCTGCAGTGATACACTGAGACTCCAGAACTAGCCATGGGCTTCACTTTAACTTCTTATTCCTATCGGCTCTCATTCCTCAATTTTTTCTTTAAAAAAAGAAAACGCCAGGGGACTTCCAGCAAGATGGTGCACTAGGCAGACACACTACATGAACCCTCTACAACAGAGATACAAGGAATCAAATGAAACACACACAGAAGAAATTCTGGGACCCTGATCTTCAGAAGAAAGGTAAGAAAAGTGGATAGAGTGCTTGCTGCGACGAGAGGCTGGGCAGGGATGGCAAGAAGGAATACTGACTGGTAAATGTCTGGCCAGATGCGGCTTGACCATATTATGAGCAACTTTGGCAGTGGAGGGAGGCCTGGCAGAGTGTGGGTGCTGGGAAAGGTGCAATTTCTTCTTTTCCCCCACGCTGCCCTGGTGTGGTCAGCTCCCACCCTCATCCGCTCCCAGCATAGGCCCTGCTCTCCAGGAGTTCAGAGCTCTGTGGTTAGGGGACATGCCAGTGTGAGTTGGGGGCTGGCTGCATCATTCTGGTGTGCCACTTTGGTGTTTGGATTCAGGGGGTCTTGGCTCCAAACCTACAAAACCCACAGAGCCACTAGACCAGCATTTAACCAGTCAACCTTCCCCCCAGCTGCCCTGTGGTCCTAACAGACACTGAAACTAGTTCTATTAAGGACCTCCAAGAGCTACTTTCTGGATGAATTGCCCTGAACATTGATAACACAAAGGCCAATAAGAACTCCATCTAGGACCAAGACTCCTTGCGTCACATCCCTCCCACAACCACCTCGTGAGCTCTTTGAACTGTAGAAGCCCACCAGAGAGTTCTCTAATCTAGGTCCAATGATTGCACTGTTCATTTTTACAAATATGACAACCTCACAATGCCCCAGAGACAACAGATAATTTTAGTTTACATGAAGAAACAAGAGAGACTGCCTCAAACAAATGAAAAAGAATTCAAAAACATGTTAATTTGGTACCTTCAAAGGATGGCTAGAAAGATCAAGGCTAGCAAGGAAAACACAATAAACATTTTAGAAGAACTCAGGAAAACACTATAAGAAAAAACAGACAAAAATGCAAATTATAAAATATTATAAAACCTTTTGCAATTAGAGATCCAGAAGATTAGTACTAAGATCTCAGCAATGGACAATGCATTGAAAGGGCAAAGGAGTAGACGTGAAGCAATGGAAAGTCCCAATCAGTGAGCTTGAATATGAATCTGTCAATACTAATATGCTAAAACAATCAGAAAAAAAAGAGTGAAAAATCTGAAGAAAGCCTAAGAATTATGTGGGACACCATGAAGAGGAACATCTTAAGGGTGACAGGAATTC